CTAATGAAATTCAGCCTCAAGCAAAGACGGACACTTAGTTTACGGCTGATAGAAGAAGTTGATATCCATCTGACAAAACCTATGGTCGTTCGCTCAGTACATAGGCCTCCCAGACTGGGCCTCGACTTCGCTTCCCACTAACATACCGTTGCCAGCAACAGTCACTGAGCAGCCAAAAAACCAAAGTTTTTTCTGGATAAAAATTTAATCAAGGGGTCTAATCAAAGTTTTTTCGAGTTAGCAAGGGGACAAAGGCGTTAAGTTGATCCATAGTAAGTACAAAAGGCGATAGAGCACCTTCACAGTGTTGAAATTTATTGGCATATACTGCGCATGCCCTGAGCTTACTTCATGCCGCCCACTTTTAGGTTCATACTTTTTCTACCTTAGCCGAGGGATTAGAATTGCCGTTCCCTCTCTCAGCTCTTAGCCTAGTTTCTCTTGAATTTGGGAAATCACTTGACCGATGCTTCAATATCAGGAAATCGTGACCCTTTTAAATATTGCTGACCGTTTTGTCGGCAACCTGCAACGCATCAACGAGCACGCGCTAACCAATTCTCCACACCATTAAAACTATGCTGTGTAACCCGTGACCATCGAAAACCAGTAGGCTCTGTCTGGGCGTGTGAACAGTTTAAATACCATAACGAGTAGTAATAATCGATTTCTCATATCGAAAGAATGTACACACATCAGTAAAACACAGCTAATCGTTGAAGCATACACTTCAAAGAGCTCACTCGCTGCAACTGAGCAACCTCGGTAACTCAGTAACCACAAAACATCACATGCTTTCAGTCCTTTGAAATTTTGAAGGAATCGATTTTTCTAAATTGATATTTTTGTACTGAACTCTGCATTAGCCACAACAGACTGGTGTCTTCATAAGCAGTGCAAATTTGGAAAGGCAGGGTTAGGTCCTCGATAGTATCAATTCGATTCAAGCGTTCCAGCCTCAACTGGTCTGATGAGCTGTACATGACCTATACTTAAAGCAAATCAGCTGACTCGGCTAAACACAGCTGTGCAACTACATGCCGCCCCTCCGCCTCCCCATGCCGTTCGTCTGTTGAGCACGAGTCCAATCTTTGGCAGACTGTTTAGAGTGCAGAGAGCATTTCGGAGGTATTGAAGAATCTTTCAGAGAGAACTCCACAAACGGACTTCAAAATTACATATTTGTAAAGCTCAAAAATTTTTATTAATCGAGAAATTCTCAAATTATCCACAAACAATGTACAACAACTTCTTTGGAATGATTTCATGATACATGACCGGTAATTTATTCGTAGAAAGGATCAACAAGTTGATTCTGATCGAAGACTGGGCTGCTCCGTCCTTAAAACATGTGAATTTATTATAATTCCTATTGACGCCTGTAATTCATGGAGTTCCTAAGCTTAACGTACCTCCTTGTTGTCCTCCGAATTCCTGATCACGTTGTCCACCCATCATTCCACCTGGTCCACCAAAGCCACCTCGCCTACCTCGCCCACCTTGTTGACTATCCATCATTCCTCTGAATTCTCCACCCATTCCTAGAAAGAACGATTCTGAAAAGAGGCCAAAGGTCTCCCCAATCATTGGAAACTGAACAACATACCTCGCTGACCACCAAAGCCACCGAATCCTTTTTTTCCACCGAATCCTCCTTTTCCGCCGAATTCACCTTTTCCCATCGGACCCATTGGACCTTCACCTCCAAATCCAGGAGGACCATGTGGTCGGCGTCCACCACGTCTACGTTTGAACATACCCATGGCGAACCAAACGGCGTGGTATGCCTTGAAAGCGGAAACTTGTAGAAAGGGTTGGCATACATAATCCTAAGGGAGATAGTTAAGTAAAGTCCCACCTTTGGATTTTCGGCACTCAGG